TCCCATTCCTGATTTTGGAAAGCTTTCATTAACTCACCAGTAAGAACAATGTTTGTCAAAGGTTTTTTTTGCGGCTATTCTCAATCACATTAAAGAAATTCTTAGTTTGCTACAATTTTTTTAAATCACAAATCAGTATTAGATTTTATCAATTGCCTTTTTATGTATCTATCATAATGACCATATAATTTTTTCTTTTTTTTTCTGTTAATGTGATGAATAAATTATTTTCCAATGTCAAACCACCGTTGCACTCCTAAAATAAACTTCACTTGGTTGTAATGTATTATGCTTTTTATATATCCCTGGATTGGATTTATTAACATATCGTTTAGGATTTTTACATCTATGACCAAGAGAGAGATCATCAATTTTCCTTTCATGTGTTGCTCTTGTTAGGTTTTAATATCAATATTATTCTGACCTCATAAAATTATTGGAAAGTGTGCTCTTATTTTCTATTCTCTGGAATAGTTTTTGTAAGATTGGTATTTCTTCTTCAAATGTTTGAAAGTGTTCACCAGTGAAGCCATCTGGGCCTAGAGTTCTTCCTAAGATTTTAATAATGGATTCAAATTTTTTTTTTATATGGGATTATTCAGATAACACTTTTTTGGTCAATTTTGGTCAATTTTTATTTCAAGGAATTTGTCCATTTCACTTAAATTGTCAAGCTTACTGGTAAAAAGTTGTTTATTCTGTTCTCTTATTATTTCTTAAATGCCTTAGGATCTATTCTGATGTCCTCTTTTTCATTCATATTGGTAATTTGTGTGTTCTTTCTTTTCTTTGATTAGTTTGCTAGGGATTTATCAGTTTTGTTAATCTATTTTAAAAACAAACTTTAGCTTTGTTGTTTTTCTCTATTATAGGTTCATTTTCTATTTCATTGATACATGCTCATATCTTTATTCCTTCCTATCATTTCTTTGGGTTTGATTTGCTATTCTTTTAGCTTCTTGAGATGGAAGCTTAAATGATTATACTTTAGCCTTTTGTCGTTTTTTTTTTTTTTTTTTTTAGGCAAGGCAATCATTGGTTGACCTCACAGATTGCAAGGAACTTGTCAGCTTACAATCTCTTATTATTATTTTTTTTAATTTTATTTTATTTTTTTGCCTACAGCACCTGGTTTTCCTAAGTGGTCTCCCATCCAAGTACTAACCAGGCCCGACCCCACTTAGCTTCTGAGATGAGACAGGATCAGGCTTGTTCAGGGTGGCATGGCTGTAGACAGTCTTTGGTCTTTTTTAATGTACACGTCGAAGACCGTACATTTCCTATAAGCACTACTTTAACTGTTTCCTACAAGTTTTGATTTGTCATATCTTAATATCTTAATTCTCATTCAGTTCAAAATGTTTTCAATTTTCCATTTCGATTTCACTTTTGGCTCTAAGTTATTTAAAAGTGCATTGCTTAGTTTCCAAAAAGTTCAGATTTTTACAGTTTTCTTTTTGTTATTGAAATTAGTTTAGTTCCACTAGAGTCAGAGAACATATTCTGAATTATTCCAATCTATTTAATTTTATTGAGGCTTGCATGTGGTCAATTTTGGTAAACGTTTTATGTGCACTTCAAAGAATGTTCATTTTACCATTGTTGGGTACAGTGTCCTATGAGTCAATTAAATCAAGCTTGTTAATTGTGCTGTTCAGATCTTCTATATCCTTACTGATTTTTTTTTGTCTGCCTTCGTAGCTAATATGAAAGATTGGTGATAGCATTAAAGTCTCCCACTTTGGTTGTGGATTTTGTATTTTTCATTTTAATTCAGTCCATTTTTGCTTTATATATTTTGAAGTGATGTTATTGGATATATACAGATTTTAAGTTGTTATATCTTCCTGGTGAATGAAGAACAACATTTGCATGGGTATATTTCCTTTTCTTTCTTGTATAAAATAAGCAGTCTCGAAGCTTATCCTTTGTTTAATGACTTTACTTTGTTCCTAAAATCTCTACTGCTAAAAACCATTAATTGGAAAAAATATTTCCGTCGATTTCAATAGAAAAATTGTGATGCAGTCCATCCAACCCAATACCCAAACAATTTTTACTGATGGAAAAATTTACTAATAGACCAATAAAACAAGTTTATATTTTAAAAACCTGATGATTTGAATATAAAAATACAGTTTACATATACAACTTATTGTAACAACGGAATGAAGATATCGTAAGTGGTAGAGGATGGGTGTGGGGGAGTCATTACAATTGAGAAGGTAAGGTACATATTTCTTTCTGCACCATTTCTTTGCTGTTTTTCAACCTTCAGGAGACTCACGGCTGTCTTGCACTCAAACTATCTTTAAAAATAAAGTTATAGCACAGAAAAATACCTTAAGGGCAAAATAAATACTAAATTTGAAAGCACTTCAAAACACATGGAAATAGCTTGTGTACTCAACGGACTGCAGAACCATTGAAGATGACCCTTCCAAATGGCACGCACATGTGAAACAAAGTGGTTGGGGTTTAACCGAGACATGGCAAGCAATGAAAATTTATTCCCTAGGATGTTGTTGGGCTACAAACTGTTTTATTAAATTAAATTGGTGAGTGTGTTTAAACTCTGGAAGTATGACATCAGAATATCATTCGTTATGGCATGTTTATTTGGTGTGTTCAGGGATGAAAAAGTTATCATACTATCAGAAAAAAGGAATGTTGTCTAAAAAAGTGGTACAGCTTTTAAGGAGTCATTATGACAAAAAGTTAATTGAACAGATAAATCTGAAGACTAAACTTCACCTTGCTTTTTTCCATGTAAATACGCATTAGAGTTTTAAGTAATGAAGTGGCATGATCAGGCCATATTTTTAAAAATTCTTTCTGGCAGCTGATATGGAGAGAATGTCTGCAAAAGGACAAGTCTTGGAAGAGAAAGGTCAGGAGACTAAGAAACATGTCCAAGTAAGAGACAATAAATAGGTCAGTGGGACAGAACTGAAGCCCGACAGAGGCCCAAATGCAAATGAGAATTCTGAGAATGCTAAAGGTCATATTTCAAATTTGTGGAAATAATGTTGAGACAATTTCATCTGGGGGGAGAAAAAGTGCAGCTGGATCCCTATTTTACTCCACACACAAAAATAAAGTCTAGATGAATCAAAGATTCAAGCATAAGAAATGAAACACAATATCAAAGAAAACATTGAGTGAATTAAAAAAAAATCTCTAAGTGGGGAAGCAAGTCATAAGGAAAAAATAATTCGACTACATAAAAATATAGATGTGGGGGAAAAATATTATTATATGCAGTCAAACAGTTAAGTGGGAAACACTATCTGTAACACATTGACAATTTCTTTCGAATTCAAAAAGAATAAGAAAATAATAAATGCCTCATAACAAGGGATAAGCAGTAAACAAATATAATAAGAGGCTTGACCTCACTCATAATTAAAAAATAATTTTGAAACAAAATGATGAGATATTCTTTTAAAACAAGAATGAAAAGGTCTGCACATTATAGGTTCAAACAGCACTGTGAGGAAACAGGTCTTCTCCTAGTCTGTTGTTGGAATATGAATTAGCACAATCTCTTTGGAGGGGCAATCTGGCAATACCTATTTTTACCCCAAAATTTTTAATGAAAAATTGCAAAAATACAGAAAAGTTGAAAAAATGGTACAGTGAACAACCACGCACCATACTTAGATTTTACAATTGTCAACATTTTGTTATATTTGTGTTATCACACATATGTAATACATATTTATTTTTATATATTTATGTTATATATGTATATATATATATACACATATATGTGTGTGTGTGTGTGTGTGTGTGTGTGTGTGTATATATATATATATATATATATATATACATACAGATACATATATATATATATATCTATCCATCCATCACGCCATCTTCTATTGATGTATTTC